TGTTCGCCAATGGCTTCGTAGATGACTTTCGGCCCATCCTCGTATCTATTCGAGACGCGAAGAAACAAATGTCCCACAAGAAAAGATGTCGAATCGGGCGTGGTTTGGATGTAAGTTCGGTCCGGCGCGTGATGAAGACGCTTATCGAGATGAAAGTGTTGATCCTAGCGAGGTATGTAGATGGATGAGTCTGAACTAAAGATGATATGGAAAGCAAAAGACAAGGGATTTATGCTATCGATGGTGGAAAGTGATGGAAGCCAAGATATCCGATAAAGTATCCTGATATCCTGATACATAGATCTTCATGCAACAAAAGCAACGAGACCTAACGTAATCTAATTTTAAGCATTGAAGAGATAAATATACATCAGTGTGTAAAGGAGTACATCTCTTCAATCTCTTGCATAAAGAGAACTCTGAACGAATGAGAGGAAGCTAACTTAAAAAAACCTCGTGGACCGACGTCGAAGAAGGCAGAGAAAGCGTAAAGGCTTGTGCGACTTGGACGAGCACGGCTGCGCGCGAGCTTGATTACAGCCGTTGTGAGAATCATCGGTAAGTTTTGAGGTCTTGTGTGTTTCCCAGATTTAACTAGGGTTTAATCTGCGGTCTAAAAGTCAGTTTTTCTCGATCTCACAGGACTAAACCTTGTTTTGGTTCCTTGAAACTTAATTCTTCATAACTGTCATGTGCTGTCATTGAACGCTTCCATGCTTCACATGAACATTCGAAAGCTGCTGGGCCGGCTTCGCCGTCCGGTTCCACCTCACTCATTTCCATACCATCGTCCACCAGCCTCCGGTCGCTACTTCCACAACTCAATTTGACATCCCGGTGTTTCGCTTTCTTAACCGCTTTGAAAGTACGTACGTAAATTCTTTATTCTTTGCCAAATTTTTCAATCAAACTGATCTTTCGAATTTCTATAGTCATGGAAATGGAATGTGGAACTAATTTATCATTGATTGAAAGAGGGTACATGCTTATTTCAATTCGATTCTTTTCAAAATCAACTTTGATTGATTGACTTTGATGGTGTGTTTTTGTTTCTTTCATTATGAATGGAAAGCGGAGACTGACCTTCTTCATGAATCATTTTGTTCAAAGTTTCATTTCCATGCTTTCGAACACGACTTTGAATGTGTTTTTTCGTCATTTGGTATGAATCGACATGAATGTCGATGGTCTGTTTGGTTTGTAAACATCAGCAAAACGTGGAATATTTGATCGAAGTGCCAGGGCAGCGTTTTCATTATCTGATGCCGAAGATTCTAGATTCTAACCATGTTTTTCATTTGTCTTTTGCTCCCCATTATTTACCAGTATGGCCACCATCGAATGAAGAACTATCATATGACCTCATGATATCATATGATATCATGTCAGAAAACGGGGATCACTTTGATAACGCCCAAAGGTTCAAATAGACGTGCATTTGGCGGATATCTTCGTTCTTTCTCCATCGAACTCAGCCTGTAAGAAAAAGATTTAGTCTTTTGTCTTTATATTTCTTGTTTTTCCTTTTCTGACCAATGCGACCATTGTGAAAACCCAGATTTCGAATTTGTGTCATCAAAGTCTAGCTTTATCTTGCTTTTCCAACCTTTACCCCACCTATACACCACCATTGTCTTGTAATCAGTGCGTTCATTTCCCCCCGTTCCCCGTTTTTCGTCTTCTAATCACTTCTTTATGATCATTTCCCTTTATCTCGTTTGTCTAATCACTGGTTTATTTTATGATCAGCTCGGCAACAAATCAATTCCACAATCTAAGATGTCTAACCCACAATTACAAACCACCAATGCCTTGGAAGTGCCCGCTGTTGAAGTTGAAGGACACATGAACGCACGTAAGTCGATCTTCTCTGCATATAAGGTCTTCATATTACTGATTTGATTTAATTTTGGTTTCAGTGTTTGAAAATCCTTCTGATGCAACTGGCGGGGATGCTCCAGCCACCAGCATCCATCAAAACCCACTTTACCGGATCAGTACCGCCAATCGTATCCAATTCGATAAACGACACGAGATGTATGTGCAGGTGAAGTTTAAAATCCATGCTGAAAAGGAAGTCGAAGTCACCCAGGCGACTTCGATGAAGGTAGCTAGTAGAACTCGCCGCAGTGCAGCTTCTGCGGCGCGCTACAACGTGATCGACTCCAAAATCTTCAACCAAGGCAACGTTCTCGAGCTCGTGAAGTGCTTATTCGGGAAATCTTTAAAAGATTTCAAAGGTTTGTGTGGCGATCTTTGTGACGAGTACGAACATGGCATGCGCCATATGGTTCTCTCCAGCGACCTTGCTCCCCGATTGAAATGGGTAGGATAAGTTGGCCGTGAAAAAATCACGCTGGTTGACTATCCAACCTGGCAGGCCTTTGTGGACTTGCTTGCCAAAGCAACCAAACACAAGGGCTCCGTGATGATTTTTACCGAAGATGCCAAAGAAAAAGCCAAGAAGGATGCTCAGGTGTGTAATTTTTTTTTCTCGATTCTTTTTGCAACTTTCTTTTCAATTTTGTTAACTTATTCTATCTGATACTTAGACCTCCGCGGCGAAAGAGCTGATTGCTTCAGCCAGCGGTCCCACAGCCGCCGAAGCGCAGGTGGGTGCTCTTACTCAAGAGCTAGAGGTGCGTGACTCATATTACCCTATTACTCCTTGCCTCTATCTCTCTGACTTGCCTTGTGACCTAGGATGCGCGTAAACAAATTCGCCTCCACGAGTTGGCCGCCCAACTCTTTCATGAACATACGCAAAAAGCTAACGCCGGAGATGGCGCCATCTTAGTCTGCCCGTGGGATCCCAATTTTCTGTACCGGTTAACTTACAGCGGCGCTTGGGTCTGGGCAAAAGGTGTCGTAAGTAATCAGAATCTTTCATTTCGTTATTCACCTCAAATTGAGTCTTTTTTTGTTCATTCCAGCAATCCGGAATGGCAACACGCGAGATCCCTCCCCGAACCTATGAATATTTGGCGATCATGAAGAAGGCCCGAGTGTTCCATCAGGCCACCAAAGTCCACGATCGAGTCAAGATGCGCAGCTCTCAACTGCGACTTGACTTATCTCCCACGTTTCACAGATCGGGAGGATCTAAGCAGTCCTTTTTTGACCTGCCAGCTCAACTGTTATTTCAAAAACCAACCGGCTCCAAAAGATGCGCCAGTTATGCAGGTTTCTCTGAAGATGACAAGAAGAAGGTGAAACTTGAACCAAGTACGTTCGCTTTCTTCTATAATGTTTCTCTCAATGATGATTCATTCCAACTGATTCTCAACATTTCGACTTCTCCTTGTAGTCTCTCCCTCTGGTTTGGGCAAAACAATCTGTCTGTCTTCAGATCCCCCGTCTGGTGCTTTTCCTTGGTCTCAAGAATGTAAAGTCAAGATTAAAACCAAACCAGGTAATGTTCTATTTGTACTAACTGTCTAACGATAGTTGTACTGACTGTAAATGTTTCGGTCCTGACCAACTGTGGACTCCAATCTTTAGGCTTGCCCTCAAAGGGTATCACGATTGTGATCTCCTCAGATCCCCCATCACCTAGCCACATCGACTCCTCTCAAGATACCAAGAAAGGCAATGAAACTCAAGGAGGTATGTACCCCATTTTAATCAACTTTTCCTTTATTACGTTTAACACTACTGAACAAATACTAACTTAATGACTTCTAACATCGTAGATTATGAAATTTATCGATCCAATACTCCTGGCGACTCAGAGGGCCAAGATCGAGCTCATGCTGAGGCCTTAGAGCGCTTTTTGATTGATTGCAATGTTCCACCAAAAGACGAGACGACCAGGATGATCCTTGAACGTGCAGGTATCAAATCATGGACTGACTTGATACCTAGCCACCAGTTCACTGAGTCATCTCTTACCACGCGTGGCATGCACCCCGCTCTAGCTTTGCATCTCGTCAGCGAAGCGATGGACCGTGTCAATGAACTCAAGAAGGAAACCGACGAGCTTCAAGATGAAGATTCTGGGGATTCCATTTCAAGTCGTCCCCAATCCCCCGAATTCTAATCGCTCATTCCAATTCGGGGGATGTGTCTCTTAGTAAATCATAACCCTGTCTTCCTATTCGCTGCTCCACTCATGTATGTGCTTCGTTAGGATTTATAGCCAAAACTTGCAAGCTGCCTGCGTCTGCGGCTCTCTTTGCTCCTTTTTTTTTTTTTTTTTTTTTTTTTTTTTTTTTTTTTTTTTTTTTTC